CCTCGGCCTCCCAAAGTGCTAGGATTATGGGCATGAGCCACCACGCCCAGCCCAGCCAACTACTTCTTAAAAGTATAACAAATACACAGAAATGTACACATATGTACAGCTTGATAGGTTTTCACAAACACAACATACCTGTGTAAACAGCACTGAGATAATGAAACACAACATTACCGGCACCCTGAATTCTCCCTTGTAATCTCTTCCAAGTAATGCCCCCACTCCAACAAGGGCATCCACTATCATGATTTCCATTATAATTTAGTTTTGCCAGGTTTTATACTGTATGTGAATAATATTAAATATACTCTACTGGGTCTGGCACCCTTTGTTAAATGCATCATTATGTGTGTAATTGTGTATATAACATGTAATATGTAACAGTTGCATATTTTTTTTTAAACATAACTTTATATTGTTGATTTTCACTGCTATATAGCACTCTAATTAATGAATATACCATAGTTTATCCATTTTGCTTAATGGGCATTTGGATAGTATCCAGCTTGAGGCTATCATGAACACTGATGCTATTAATATTCTAGTAAATATTTTTTGGTGACACATATATACATTACAGTTGGGTATATTCCTACAACTGAAATTGGTGGGTCTCCAAAGGCTTTCCACCTTTGTAATTTCCAGAGGTCAAGTAGTATAAGGGACATCCCTATTAAGGTGAAGAATGAGGTATTGCATCTGGCACCTCCTATAACCAAAAGGGAGACACAATGCCTAGTCAGCTTTTTTGGATTTTGGAGTTAACATATTTTCTCATTTAGGTGTGCCACTTCAGCCCACTCACTAAATGACCTAAAAAGCTGCTAGATTTGAAGGGAGGCCCAGAACAAAAGAATGATCGCAACAGGTCGAGGTTGCTGTGGAGCTGCTCTGACAATTGTGCCAAATGATCCAGCAGATTCAACGGTGCTTGAAGTGTTAGTGGCAGATAGAGACGCTGTTCGGAGCCTTTGGCAGGTCTCTGCAGGTGCATCACAGGGTGAACCTTTAGGATTTTGGAGTGAAGTCCTTCTATCCTCATTGGAAAACTACTCTTTTGAGAAACAGTTAAGCCAAACTTTAGTAGCAACTAAGCACTTAACCACAGGCCATCAAGTTACCATGTGACCCACGCTGCCCATCATGAACTATGTGCTATCTGACCTACCAAGTCATAAAGTTGGTGTTAATGGCTGCACACCATTATCAAATGGAAGTGGTTTATGTAAGACTGAGCTTGAGCAAGCCCTGAAGTCATAAGTAAGTAACATGAGGAAGTGACCCAAATGTCCATGGCCCCTACCCTTGCTGCATTACCTTTTTTCTCACTGCCTGCTCTGAAGATGACATGAGGAGTTCTCTACAATCAATTGACTGAGGAAGAGAAAACTCATGTTTGATTTACAAATGGTTCTCTATGATATGCAGGCACTGCCTTAAAGTGGACAGTTAGAGCACCTACAACTTCTTTCTGGGACATTCCTAAAGGAAATTGGTGAAGATAAGTCCTCCCAGTGGGCAGAATTAAGAGGAGTGCACCCGGTTGTGTGCTTTGTTGAAAGGAGAAATAACCAGATGTTTAACTATATTCTTTCTTTCTTTCTCTTTCTCTCTCTCTCTCTCTCTCTCTCTCTCTCTTTCTTTCTTTCTGATGGAGTCTTGCTCTGTCACCCAGGCTGGAGTGCAGTGGCCCAATCTCAGCTCACTGCAAGCTCCGTCTCCCAGGTTCACGCCATTCTCCCGCCTCAGCCTCCTGAGTAGCTAGGACTACAGGCACCCGCCACCATGCCTGGCTAATTTTTTTGTGGTTTTAGTAGAGACGGGGTTTCACCGTGTTAGCCAGGATGGTCCTGATCTCCTGACCTCGTGATCCGCCCATCTCGGCCTCCCAAAGTGCTGGGATTACAGGCTTGAGCCACCACACCTGGCTGATGTTTAACTATATTCTAGAGTGGTAGCCAATGATTTGGCTCTATGGTCAGGGACTTGGAAAGAACATTGTATTAGTCAGGGTTCTCTGAAGGACAGAACTAATAGGATATATATAAAGGGGAGTTTATTAAGGAGTACTAACTCACATGATCACGGAGTCCCACAATAGGCCATCGGCAAGCTGAGGAGCAAGGAAGCCAGTCCAAGTCCCAAAGCTGAAGAACTTGGAGTTCGATGTTAGGGGGCAGGAAGCATCCAGCATGAGAGAAAGATGTAGGCTGGGAGGCTAAGCCAGTCTAATCTTTTCACATTCTTCTGCGTGCTTTTTATTCATGCATGCTAGCAGCTGAGTAAATAGATGGTGCCCACCAAACTGAGGGTGAGTCTGCCTCTCCTAGTCCACTGACTCAAATGTTAATCTCCTTTGGCAATACCCTCACAGACACACCCAGGAACAATACTTTGCATCTTTTAATCCAATGAAGTTGAGACTCAGTAATCCATCATAAGTGGACTGAAAAATTTGAGAGGAGGCATTGGACGGACCTTTTTTTTTTTTTTTTTTTTTTTGAGACAGGATCTCACTCTATTGCTCAGGCTGAAGTGCAGTGGCACAATTACAGCTTACTGCAGCCTCCACCTCCTCAGGCTCAGGTGATTCTCCCACCTCAGCCTCCCAAGTAGCTGGAACTACAGGAGTGCACCACCACACCTGGCTAATTTTTGTATTTTTTTGAAGAGATGGTTTCACAATATTGCCCAGGCTGGTCTCAAACTCTTGGGCTCAAGCGATCCACTTGCCTCAACCTCCGAAAGTGGTGGGATTACAGGCATGAGCTATCACACCCGGCCAGGACAGACCTCTCTCAATGGGAAAAAAAAAAAGAAAAGAAGAAGGAAAGAAAAGAAGGATGTATCCCATAAAATTCTCACCAAAGGTGGTCTTAGCAGAGGAGGATTTTAATAATGAAGAGAATATAGGATAATCAAGTCTGTGGAAACCAGTCAGTCTCTATTCCAGCCACCTCTGTCAGAACAGGGCTGGGGAAAGAGGCTAACTGGTATCCTCTTTGCTTATGTCTCAGGAACAAAGTGGCCATGGTGGCAAGAATGGAGGTCATACATAGGCTCAGCAACATGGATTTCCACTATCCAAGGCCAACCTGGATGCCACTGCTGAGTGCCCAACCAGTCAGCAGCAGACAACAACACTGACTCCAAGTATGGCACTATTTCTCTGGGTGTTCAGTCAGCTTTGTAATTGAGTACATTGAACTACTTCCATCATGGAAGGGGTAGCATTTTGTTCTTACTAGAACAGACATTCGATACAGATTTACCTTCCCCATACAAAATTCTGCCAAAATTGCCATCCACGGTTTCACGGAATGTTTTACCCATTGTCATGATATTCCATACAACATTGCTTCTGATCAAGGAACTCACGTCACAGCAAAATAATTGCAGTATGAGTCACTGCTCCTGGAATTCACTGGCCTATGTTCCCTATCATTCTAAAGCAGCTGGCCTAATAGGAAGATGGGATGGCCCTTTGACGATTCAGTTATAGCACCAGCTAGGTGGCAACAACTTGCAGGTAGGGCAGAGATCTCCAGAGGGCTATATATATATGCTCTGAATCAGCATCCAATAAATGGTACTTTTTGCCCTCCATAGTCAGGAATCAAGTGGTAGAAACAAAAGTGGCACCATGCATTATTAACCCTGGTGATCCACTAGCAAAATTTATTCTTCCTGTTCTCATAATTTTATGCTCCACTGGCTTAGAGGTCTTAGTTCCAAAGGGAGAAATTCCTCTACCAGGAGACTAATTCCATTAAACTGGAAGTTAAGACTGCCCCCAGTCACTGTGGAGTCAACAGGCTAAGAAGGGACTTATGGTGTTGACTGGAGCGACTGATCTGGACTACCAAGGGGAATCTGAACTACTACTCCATAATGTGGTAAGGAAGAATATGTCTGGAATACAGGGGATCTCTTAGGGTATCTGTTAATTTTATCATACCCTATGATTAAGGTTAATGGAAAACTACAACAACCCAATCCAGGCAGGACTACCAATGGCCCAGACCCATCAGAAATAAAGTTTGTGTCACCCACTAGGTAAAGAACCATGAGCATCTGAAGTGCTTGCTGAAGGCAGAAGGAATATGGCATGGGTAATGGAAGAAGGTGGTTATAAATACCTGTTACAATCACCTGATTAGTTAGACAAGTATCTTTGTTTTCTTCTCTCTCTTATTTCTTTATCATATAATGTGCAATGTATTAATAATAGTTAACTTTATATCACAGTTTTTAAGTTGCAGGATAGCAAGAAGAAGGGTGAACATTGCCTGAAACTTTGTATCCTCTAATGGGGAAAGGGTTAGCACATTTTCAGTTTTATGCAGGACAGTTGTAGCGTGTTAGGCAAAAGTATGACTTTATTATTATCTTTATTTAGAGACTAAATATGGTTTAAGGAGATGCAAATGGATGCGTAGTTGATAAGGAATGCGCGGTGATGGTTAGTTGTATATGACAACTTGTCTAGGGTGTATTACATAATTATTCAATTAAATACTAATCTAAGTGTTGCTGCGAAGGTATTCTGTAGAAGTGGTTAATATCTATAGTAGACTTTATATAACCTTTAAGGTTATAGATTATCCCTGATAATATAGGTGGGCCTCATTCAATCAGTTGAAAGGCCTTAAGAGCAAAACTGAAGTTTATCTGAACAAGAAGAAATCTATCTGTAGACTGCATCATCGGCTCCTGCCCAAGAGTTTCCAGCCTGCCATACAGTTTTCAAACTTGCCCAGCTATACTTATACAGCTCCATAATTGTATAAGTCAATTCCTTGTTTTATTCTCTCTGGAATGGTAATTAGCATACATTAGGCCTTATTATATCCTCTATAACTTTCAACCTCTCTTTAATATTTTCCATATATATATATGTATATATAATTGGCTCTTTTTCTTTGGTAGGATCCTGACAAATACAGGATCTTGCTATTCCCTATGCTGATGTTATCAGAGATAGAGATAGAAAGAAGTCAATTATGTGCTTTCTCCTTGAAAACTTCATAACCTAAGGAATATGAAATATGAAAAGTCAGCACCATAAATTAGGTCGGGTAGCGATATATTATTGTGATGGTCAATTTTAGATATCAGTTTGGCTGGAATAAGGGATACTCAGAAAGCTGGTAAGGCATTATTTCTGAGTAGATCTGTTTCTGTGAGGATGTTTCCAGAAGAGACTGGCATTTGAATCAGTGAACTGAATAAAGAAGATCTGCCCTCACCCAAAGTGGTCAGGCACCATTCAACTGGTTGAGGACCAGAATAGAAAAGGCAGAGGAAAGGCAGATTTACTCTCTCTTCTGGAGCGAGGACATCCATTTTCTCTTGCCCTTGAACCTTAGAACTCCAGGTTCCCTGGCCTATGGATTCTGGGAGTTGCATTGCAACTCCCCAAGTTCTAAGTCCCTTGGACTTGGACTTAGTGATGCCACTGGCTTCTCTGGTTCTCCAGCTGGCACATGGCACGTCATAACCACATTAGCCAATTTTCGTTAAAAATCCCCCTCACTGGCTTGGCATGGTGGTTCACACCTGTAATCCCAGCACTTTGGGAGGCCGAGACAGGTGGATCACGAGGTCACGAGATCGAGACCATCCTGGCTAACACAGTAAAACCGCATATCTACTGAAAATACAAAAAAAAAAAAAAAAAAAATTACCCGGGCATAGTGGTGGGTGCCTGTAGTCCCAGCTACTCGGGAGGCTAAGGCTGGAGAATGGTGTGAACCCGGGAGGTGGCGCTTGCAGTGAGCTGAGATCGCGCCACTGCACTCCAGCCTGGGTGACACAGCAGGACTCTGTCCAAAAAAAAAAAAAATCCCCTCTCATATATCTCTATCTCCGTTAGGTTCTGTTTTTCTGGAGAACCCTGACAAATACAATTATTAAGTATCAAATGAGTAGCACTGAATTAAGTATTCAAGGAACTTGTAAAAAAGAGAGATCTCTGTAGACTTAGAGAATGCTCAGGGCAGGTACTGTGGAGGAAATAAGTACAAGAATTAAGAATGGACATCTTGGTTGAATTGAAGCTGTACATATCTAACTAAATTTCAATTGCTTCATTGGCTGTTTACTCATAAAAATTCCAAAGTGCCACTGAGTAATTAGACGTTCTAGCTTAAGCATAGTGAGGGGAGATGTTAAGCCTTCTAAACTTAAAAAAAAACAAAAAAAAACAAGAAAAAACAAAACAAAACAAAAAAAACCACTGCATTTGGAGTTTAGAAAGCTTAAAAGACTGAATTCCTCTCTACCACTTGGAAGAAGTATGATCTTGGACAAATTCCATACTACCTTAAATCTCAGAGCCTTAATACATAAAATGGGAATAACAGTACACATCTTATCTATTATAAAGTCATAATGAGAAATACATGAAATATAAGGTTCTTAGCACAGTGCCTTTCACAGAGGAAGTACTCAACCAATATGAGGTGAATGCAAAAACATCTCCACATCTCTAAAAAGAATGCTACTAAAATTGAAACCAAAACAATACTAATATGTGCTTTCTCCTTGAAAACTTCATAACCTAAGGAATATGAAATATGAAAAGTCAGCACCATAAATTAGGTCGGGTAGCGATATATTATTGTG